AAAATTTATATACGACCCTAAGTTAATTCTAAGAAAGATAAAAATTTGTCTTTTCCAATGAACATGAGTTTTATGAACAGTTTTTCCATTACATAATGTCTTGACATAGATTTACCTTTTCTAAACAAATTAAATATAATACTATATTATTTTAAAAATGTATTAGGGTAAAATACATACAACGGCATTTCATTCTAGCCATACTAACAATATAAATTTGATGTAGACTTTATGATTTTGATAATTGAAATACCTTAAAATGGAAAATCAAAACCGAATTGGATAGCTAAAATCCTCCGAAACTATCCATGTATTTGTTTTCGGTTTATCCCTCTGCTGTTTGCGTTCCTGCTGCATTTTGTCAAACTAACACATCGTTTTCCGGTGCATAGTTTTGGGTCCCAAGCCGATGCCAATGACCGGGGTCAGATGGGACCCTAATGGTCGCATAAGGCACGCACTCGCACACAGGCGAAATTGTTTCCTGTTATTATGTAAATTTCTTCATGGCTCGAACCGGTCCTTCTTGCCCGCCAGCCTGCCAGGGAAATAGTTTTTCGAGGGCTTTGCATCCTCGAATTGACCTTACCAGAGCAATTAAGCCGCTTAACCCATGCCTGCAGCCATATTTTGCAGCCCCGCTCTCGATGGGACGTCGCCATAAAAATTGTTAAGCTTCATCCCATCCGCTTGACAACGAAAACGAAGCGAAAATGAAAAATAAAATGGCCAAAAACATTTGGCCGTTACAGCTGCAGTTTGTCAGTCGTGGCTAAAGCTTCAATTTGTTTCCCTTCTGCTTCTCCACTGCACGGTTTTGGTTCGCTTTTTTTTTTTTTTTTTGCTCTTAGCCGAATCGAGATTTTTATGCATTTTATGTAACGATCCGGGCACCTACCCAACCACCCGCACAGGTCTCTGCATCAATAATAGTTGTTTGGGGGTTCCCATCGGTGCACTGGGGAAAGAATTTCAATGTAAATTCAAAGCCAAAATTTTTGAATTAACACTGATCCTGATTCAAAATATTTATGAGCTGAAATGTACCAGGTTTCACTTATTGTTATAAGACTTTCAAAATGGTCTCTATAATTTTTCTGTGTTTTTGAGGATTAAAATAAAGTTTTTGTTTTAATTTTAAAATAATAGGTTTTGAAATAAGAGCAATAAATATGTACTAAATTAAAAAGACAACATTTTAGTATTAAGACTAATTGTTGGTTTAACATATTATTAATCGAAAAGGTATCAGGATTTAAGACCTTTTTTTTATAAAATTGTTTTGCTTGCCATTTGTCATTAACATCCAAATACGCTCTCCTACTTTTTTAAAACTCTTTATTTTAAGCACTATATTCTCTCTGTGTTTATTGGTTTGGTATGGTTTGGTTTGGCGTTTGCACTTGGCTATGATTTTTTAGCAAACGAGCAAACGACTCAAATTCGAAATATCCAACACTCTGACAGGACTCAGCTTATTCATATTTTGCAGTTCCCCTCGTCCATGGATTCCGCCTGTTAGTTTTAAGCATGCCAAGCGAAAGGCGAAGCCAAGTCGAGCATCCTCGAAGGGGAATGTGCGGTGGCCTGTCTCGAGTGGAGGAGTGGTTGGCGGGATGACATCGGATCAGGAATTCTACGCCACGGATTGCACTGTAATTGGTTCGATAATATATACAGGAATTGATTTTCCAACCAAAGAGGTTGCCTCGATAGAGCTTTAATTAAAGACGGAATGAAGCTGTCACTCGAGGCGACAATTTGTGACCTGTTTGCTGGTGTTGTCGGGTTCGTTGTCTTTATTCTTTGAGGAAAATAAAACTACCAAAGGAAACTGCTAATTGCTTAGAGTGATTTATTAAATTAAAAACTAGAATTTGATCTTGTGAAGTTTGCTTTATATAACGAAAGGAGAAAATATCTTGAGTTGAGCCATGCACCTTAAACCATAAATGTTCAAACACATATTCATGTTTCACTTTCCCTTGACAAATTATAAACTGATTGAACCCAATGGAATAAAATCAATAAACTTTGGTAAGGCCATACCTTTTTCCCTTGCAATTTAAATCACATTTGCGGCTAATACAAATTACAGCCTATTCTGCTTGATAGCCACTAATTTTCCCACCGACAAACCTCAAGGCCAGAAAAGCCCAAATAAATGACAATTTCCCCTTACATTAAGACATTAGCACGAGTTTTGAAACAAACCGAAATGGAAATAATACTGTCACAAATTTGCAAGCACTCTCGGCATGTGGTTATTAAAAGTAAATCAAGTGCACGACCGATTTACGTAGCCCCAGACTAATTAGCCTCTTGTGTACTGAGCCAGGTACTCGGAGAACCGAATCCCCGACCCGCCAAATGTGGGTACAAAAACATTTTGCTCTTTCCCCATTGTTGTGCGTGTTGGAGATTGTTATCGGGCGCATGAATTGTGGGTGTGTGGGTGTGTGGGTGTATTGGTGTGTTGGTGTATGGGTGTGTGGGGAAGGTCCTGGGAAGGTCCCCGGAGTACAATGTCGTCGTCTACACCCAGTGCACTTGGGCCCGGCTCGATAATGGCAGGTTAATAAACGTTTTTGTGCGACATTGAACGTATGGCGAGACGCAGACGCCCAGGTGTGGGCAACATTTTGTCCTTCGTCCTTTTTGCATCGCTAATGTCTGACCCGCCCATGCCAAGGATTACCCGAAAAACAAGTGGGCGGTCTGAACCTGCGATGCAGGGATTGTGTGCATATCGCACTGAATCTCGGTTCAATGGGGCTTTATTTAAGGAAAATGCCTCGAAGGTATTGGAGCCAATTTAAAACTGGTCAATAACCTTTGCAAACTGTGAATAAATTATCACAAACTTAAAAGAATATTTAAATTATTCCATAATTTATTTACATTTTTGTAAAAAAAGAACTGTTAAATTTTTAAAATAAAAAAAATATTTTCATAAAAGGTTTTTTCTTGTTTCACAAATTTGTATTTGTATTATTATTTGTAAACAGCAATTCAGGTTGAAAATTTTAAAAAATGTTTAACGGAAATAAAAACTACCAATATTATTAAAAAATGTTGTTTAATTATACAACCATTTTTAATGATGATATAGATTTCAATTGCTTTAAGATTCGAACTGAAGTTTCAGTTGTATCGATTTGTATTGTTGCAATAAGTTGTAATATTTTCAAATATGAAAACCAAATATTAAGCATTGCTTACTATTTTTGCCTTGTATTTTTATTCGTAAGCTATTGTAATCCCATTTTTCCACAACTTAAAGCTGGTGTTATTTTGTCTGTAGTCTTATAGGAAAATAGTGAAAGCTGGGCCCGACAGTCACTTGTCACAGCATCCACAGCCTACACAAAAGTAGTGGGCCAGACTCTAAATAAAGACCGAAAAGGTAGGCAACACGAAACAAATGCCAGGCACGTTGGAGGCATTTATCAAGAGTCCTAGTCCTTGCATACACCTACAGATGTGTCGTGTGCAAAACAAGGAGCCGGGGCGAAAGGAGCTGTGGAAAAGGATAACAGGCCCAAATCCAGATCGCTCCGAGTGACAAAGAGTCGAAAATTTCAGTCACGCGAAGGGCTTAAATGTCGTTTGATGTATTCGCCGTCATTTAAGTTTCTGCTGATGGAGTGGCCCATAAATATACATATGTATATACATCTCTCTATATATATTTATATAGATATTGGAGAAAAATCAACTGTCAGATCCCGCTTTACCCATAGAGAATATCTACGGCTCGGGGGTTAAAAGGTAAAGGCAAATGCATTTGTGTGATATATCCCGCCTTTATTGACATGTGTCCTGGCAGTCTGCTCTGGAACCGATTGACTGGGCCGAAGTTGCAGATAAAACTTGAATCTGCGGCGCACGTCCAAGGGTTAAGACCAGGTGAGTGGCGGCGGTGGCAGCAACTTGTGTGATTTATTGAATAAATCAGTTTGGAAGTCTCCTCCCAGCAGATGCTGAAATATTTATGTGTACGTACGTTCGGCTGTGCGTGCGGTTTTTCAAATTTATGTGCGATGGTAAATAAAATGAGACCTCCAACGGCGGCGAAAGCCGCAAAAGACGAGGCAATAAAAACTTGAAGTGTGTGTAAAGCTCGGCCAGATATAATCCTATATGGAATGTTTGTTCGTACGCCAGAAGACGCCGACAGCATGAGTTATTAGTTTAAAGTATTTCGATTCGAATGTGGCCACAAGTTAAATAAAATTTCAGAATTATGATTTAGTAAGCTATGTTTGTTTGTTCAATTTATTAGCATAATTTATGTATTCAATTGATAAGCACTTTTAGACACAGGATTAATTTATTTTTATTTCATATTTCTATTCATTTTTATACACACGTAATTTAAATGTGTGCTGAGCTTAAATAATATATTGGCAATTATGGTGGTGTAATTTCAGATTCTGTTTCTTGTTTAATTGACTATTTAAAGAAATTCATTGATTTGTAAGACGCTTGATTTTCGTATTTTGTACACCCTAATCTCTTATTTGTTCTCTATTTATGGATATTAAGATTTAAAGAATCCTTTATAGTGTCAAAAAGTGTCATATTTCGTTTTCAACTGCATTTCTATGCCATCAAATTGAATTAAAACTCATTAATATTTCGGGCAAAAGCTTTTATTCGTGCAGGAAAAATAATAAAAATGTTTCCCACATATATGCTTTTCAGTTTCGCTTAATTAATAATTGCATTTCGATGTTTTCCATCAATTAAACTTATTAATTTTATGTTTTGTTTAGCTCTGATTAACTTTTTCTCTTTATTAAATTTATTATTCCGTAATGTTCGACGTAATTTTTAATTTAATAATTTGACTAAAGTCGTTAAGATAATAATTTAAATATGCCGCTGATTACCAAGTCATAGTTTGACATTAATGAGCAATTTTTCATTTATTATTGCAATTTTATATTGATTGAAATTTTCTGCTATTATTTTTGATGAATTTTTAATTCACTTACCTAATGTGATTGCCAGAAGAAATGTGGTCAAAGCCGTTTGGTAAACAGTTTGTAAAAACCGCATGTTGATATTCGTTTGTTTCGTTGCTGAAATTAAGATGAGAAGAGTTTAATTTTAAAAGATATGGAGGAATATGAGGATATAGGTTACTCATTGGTTAATAAATGCCTTTCTTTCTATGATAAATTGTTGTAAATGAATATAAAAGTAGCTAAAAGCCAGCTATGGTATACAAATATTAAAAAAAATTAAGTATAATGTTGTTTTTTTGGAATGAAAAGCTTATGGGGAGTTTAAGTCTAACTTGAGCAAAGCCCCAGAAATATTCTTAAGGGCGCCCACAGCTAAGCCCCAAAATGCCGAAACGGTGGCAGACAACAACATCGGTTCTTAATGCGTTAAACTTTGGCTGCAACACGTAACTCTCGTTGGCCAATGCACCCAAATGGGCCGACTGGCTTCCTTGGGGCAGGTGTTGCAAAGTGAGTTTCTTATAGTCACTACTTTGGGCCAAAGTATTGAAAGCAATTTTGTAATCAGCAGGAAAAGAACAAGGGGAAACTGTATAAAGTAATAACTATAAAGAAAACTGCAGCGATTTTCCTCGCCCACATACACATTGCCAAAGTCGGAGTGAAAAGTTTGCCATTAACTTGGGATGAGGATGTGGCCGAAAAACACATTGTTGCCTAACTGCACATCAAATGCTCCTTCCTTGACTGTGAGCATAACATTTTTCCATAAATTCTTGGCTTTTTTTTTTGGGAGCCCATTTAAAGTTGAAAATCGGATTATAATAATCCCCTGGTCGACTTGAAAGAGCAGTCCAAGGATTCGACGGAGAAGCTTTAACAAGTTGTAATCTTTTATGGCAGCAAATTGTATTACAGCATCGGGCCAAAAGGAACCGGGCCAAGAATATCTCGTATGCGAATTGCCAGTGCAGCTCACACGGCCCAAAGACTCCACCAAATGGCTATTCTGTGTACACTCCATTAACTTTGCAGACCCTTGGCTTAATTGCTTTGGCTTCATTAAGGTCAGCACAAAACTAACCCACAAAGGCGGAGAATTGGGTAAAAACTTTCAACTTTTTAATTTATGCATTGACAAACTTAAACGACGGAGTGCGACAAACAAAAGGGCCAAGTCTGTTCCCAATGCGATAAGCCGCAAACTGCACTCCCAGACATTCTGCTTCCCCTTTTTTTTTGCAGACAAGAGACCGAAAAAAAAGGATATAATAAAAATCCGTTGCCCTTAAACCCGTGTTCCTTTTGTTAATTGCATTTGGACCAAAGCTAAGTAACGAACTGAAAGAAACAGATTCTTAAATCCCCCTTTCCCATTCAGCTGAAAGCCAGTGCAATCTGAAGTCCGAATGAGCTTGGCGATTTTCCGGACTTGTAAACAGGATTTTAGGTGCTTGGGCTATACTTTAGTTGTTAAAGATCCTTTTAAAGTGGTATTTAAAAATTTCAGGTTGGTTAAATGTTGGTAATATACAGACAATTGTATTATTTCAGATCCCAAAATACAACAGAAAAATTTCTACACATTTTCTTCAGTGTTCATTGTTCAGTAAGTTACATTTTCTATACCAATAAAATACTGATATGTACATATTTACTTGTTTATTTCATTCTAATTGACAAAAGCTGAATTGCAATGCAATGGTTATTTCCCAGACATTCTCTCATAATTCTCTACTTCAAGATGAAAATTTTCATTTTTAATCCCAAAAATCAAGTTCATAAATCCTTCAATGGTCATCTAATCAAAATTTTCCTGCTTCCTTCAGCCATGGCAATTTGCAAAACTATTATTGCAGCAAATATATCCAGTCATCCTTTACCAATCGCTGTGCCATCTGCTGCTGTTGATTCTGTAGCATTTCACAGATTGCTCGATTACAAAACAACTACGGAACGGCAATACAATGGCAAGGACATACATTTTTAACCCACCAAGATAGATTGCAGAGCACTGAGAACTAAATCAAAATAGGTTTGCTGAGAGGAAGAGACCGATTAAACCGCTTTTAGCCTTCAAAGGCACAAGGCTCACACACACACAAATATGGCAATAGCAATGGAGTTGCATAGAACTTGTGAAAATTGGTAAACAATTTATGTGGTCAAATAAAATTGCACCGAAGTGGAGCAATGCAGCAGCAGAAAAGCCAGACACCACAACAGGAGCAGAAACAAATTTATGACCGCTCAGGCCAATACCAGAAAACTCGCCAAAACTTCCGCCACAGAAATAGGGATATTTGGCAAAATGAACAGGGGCGCAGTTTTTTTTTAATAAGAAATATTAACACATTTATAGTAATACAGTTTACTTGAATTTATTTATATATCATAAAACTTAAGATATAAAAATAAAAAGATATAACCGCATTTAACATTTACTTTAAGAACATTTGGCAAAATGAACAGGGGCGCAGTTTTTTTATTAGAAGATTAACACATTTATAGTAATATAGTTTACTTGAATTTATTTTTAGATAATTAAATTTAACATTTACTTTAAGAACATTTCCTTTAGTTTATGTGGGAAGGTTTTCACTTAGATCATTTTGAAAATAAACATTATGGTTTTGTTTCCCTAAAACACTTCTCCGGAAACTTTACAAGGTAAGCCCATTGGAAAAGCCCTTCTAAATGGCCTCCTTAATAATTTCACTGCCCACGCCCATGGGCATCGGCAATAACTGCATAGATGCAGATACCAAAAACCCAGGAGAAGGCCGAAAGTGAAGTGGGCTTGTATGGGGGCAAAAGAGGGGCCATTCAAGGATATAAATTACATGCTTAGCTACTCGAGGTTTCCTAGCCCGATTCGCTCGCTCATATGCAAAAGTTTTCCCCCATTTTTTTTTTTTTTTTGGTTGCAGCATGGGATTTTTGTTGCAGAGATTATGAAATAAATTTCCACATGCCACAACATTTTCGCAGCCGCAAAAGAACAACAAATACGCTAGGTACAGATATGTATGTTACACTTGAGATGCGCCTTTAGCGCCAAAAAGTAGGCAACGAAGTCCTGAATTACACACATACTGCCACAGCTTGGGGAGCCACTCCAGATCCTTGAAATCGGAAAACCAGTGGCCATGCCAATAACAACAATGGATTTGCATATGAGATATTTTTCAATCGCCCACAGGTCTTTTGTACCGTCATGTTTTTGCATTTGCCGGGGCGAAGTTTCAGTCGGCAGAAGATTTGTGATGCCGGCAAATAAAAAGTTGTCCATCCCAGCGGTGGAAAATTGTGCAAGTTTCTTTCGTTTTCAATTCATATATCACAAGAGATAAGAACTAGAATTGGGAGTTGTTCAAAACTTTTCCGCGATATGGCAGTTTGATCTTAAAAATTGATTGGAAATCCTTGGTCCCATTGAAGTTATATTTATAAACAATTGGCCCCTATAAAAGCTTTAAGCAAATCGATAGAAGTCTAGTTTGCTTAATTTCGCGGTGTAAGCGGTTATTTTTGCTTAAGAAAATATTAAAACCGCAAGGCATTTATACCGTGAAGTAAACACAAACATTTTGTTCATATATGTAAAGTACCAAACTAAATAGTCAAACTCATTATACAATATGCAAACTTTAACTCATAACCCAACAGAAAGCTTATAAATTAATAAGTTAATTGCAAGTATAACATCACATTATAAGCAGCATTCGATTATGCAATACATATTAAATGCCTGCCAGAAATCAGGACTAACTCAGTAAATTTAGTTATAATTAAATCAAACGTTAGGTCTGCCAACAGATTATAAGTCTATGCTCAAGTGAGATAACGAAGCAATAATCTGAAAGTGAATTCCATTAGGATAACTGGCATTGATTAGCTAACTTATAACAAAATTTTAAGAGCAATTATTTGCGCTAAATAGACAAATATTCCTATAAATCTGTACACAGAAATGGGTACAAATATGAACAAACAAGCCACTCAAGAAAAATTGCAAGATTTTGTAGAGACTCTCACAAAAAGCAAGAAAACTAATTAACACCCACGCCTGGTTATACTTTTCTTTTGCATTTTACACTGAATTTCGCTGTGCCTCCTTGCAGCGTGCTTTTTCATAAGCCACAGCAATCGCATCCAAACCGAACAACAAAAACGAAGAAAATAAAAGACCAGGACTTTAAGAGAAATATCCTGGCCAAGAGAAGAATGCGACACCGTTGCAGGTGGCAGTAAAAAATGGCTGAAATTTCTCCAGCTGAACAGCGCTCTGGAGGACGGGAGCCGCGGGTCATCCGAGGCTCAGATCAGGACACAGCTCATTAAATGCTGGGCACAGTTTACCGTTCACCCCTCTCGGCTGATTTTACACAGCGAAAATATATTAAGTAGCCCCGTCAACAGTATACCACACACCATTTATCTAAGTTAATAATTTCCTGACACTTTTAGTTCAAGAAGGAAGAGATATTAAAAAAAAAGTCAATTTGGTCACATTTCATTTCATAAAAATCAATAAATGGTAATTTTCAACTTTTTCAGAAATACGTTTTGCTTATATCTGCAAAGATTAATAAACTTTGAACTACCGAGGCTAGCTTTCTTTCTAGATTTAAATATTATAATTCCACCAATCTAATATTTTTTTACAGTGTGGTTCTGTTTGGCTTGGTGCTGATGTTATTTTTAAGCCGGTTGCAGGATAATCCGAAAAGGCTGGCGACGACTTAATGCGCCCCTTGGCTGTGCTAAATAGCTTTCATTATTTACTTTATTCTCACATAAAGCGTGCGAAAAAGTTTGGTCCAAGCCATTTTTACAGAGCTGCAAATTTTCAACAGAAAAACAGAACAGGATATGGAGAAAAGTAGAAATGGAGCGGAAAATAAATGTCCCTACTCGACTGGTTAAAGGTTTTCTCGTTTTGTTTCGAAACTTTTTTTTTTGACTCAGCTGCTTGTGGACACTTGCCTGCGCTTTTCTTTCTCCTCCTCCTCAGGCGGCAATAAATCATTTCACATATCAATCAGTCAATCAAATAAATGTTTGACTGCCGCCCAACTGGCTGCCCTCCCTCATCCGATATTGATTGTCCCACTAAATACAATTTTTGCCTAGTCAGTGGGTTGCCGGAAAGTATGGAAGAAAAACTCTGCCAGGCAGTTGACATTTTCCATCAACAAAAAATGGGGAAATTGAAGGAGCAGGGCCCAGCTCAAGACATTGTTGCCTAGTTCCCCGGCAACTATGGGAAATGTTTACGAAAAGAAGGAGCCCGGGCTCCCGGAGACATGCTCCTTGGCAATTGACAAGTTTTGTTTGCCTGTCGGATGAGTCGGGGCACGCCCCTCTGTCTATCTTCCGGCTTATCTTCCGCTTTCTGGGATGTGAAAGGTTACCCCTGAATTTATGAAATTGGCTTGCCAATCGCAGGAAAGTTGTGCATCAAGAATTAAACGTCGAAGATTGCGATATGTAATTACAGAAGCATAGATGATTTTGCAAACAGCACGACTGCTCAGTTAGTATCGGTGATCTTCTCTGACAGCTTTTTTTAGCATTCCTTTTCATGTCAAATAGCTTTTATTTATTTTAATTCAAATTAATTATTACCTAATAATAAAGATTTAATATTGAAAACTATTAGCTTTTTGTATTATTATTAAGCTTGTGTATGTTTAAGTTTTCTAATTATTGGGAGCTAAGATATTTTATTCATAAATTAAATCAGCATAATGTTTTAAAACAGTGTTCAACTTAATTTGGGTTTTGAAAATTGGAGATAAATGGAAACATTGTTTTCTGATTAATCCTATCAAAGAAGCCCAAAATCAAATAAGTAATCTAATTCTTCAGTACTAAAACGTCAACTAGACATAGTAAATAAGAATGTACTCCTACCTTCAGATTAGTTTTTCCAGTGTTTTTTCTCTCAATATTTTTTTTTTAATATTTTCAATGTTATTCGCTAGTTATATTTCACATGTGTACATGCATACGATTTTTGTTTCTACTGGTTTTTGTTGGTTCTCTTGCTGCGCACAATTTGGCAAGCAACTTTATTTTATGCAATTTTCGGTTGATTTATCTGCGAATCCTTTAAGGCGCACCCAGCGAGTATCCTGTGTGTCCTGGCGAACGGGGATTTGGTTGTTGCTCCTTTTTTTGTCCACCTAAGCCGGTTGCTTCTCCGCTTTTGCTCCTTTCTCGTTCCTTATCTCATTTCGCGTATCACGGAACTCGTTAAAATCACCTTAGAACACGTGACTGCACAAACACACACTGACACACACACACAAGCTCAGGGGAGGAAGCAACAGCTTCACCCACTCACACACACTCAGTTTGGGGCTAAGGCAGATCCTTTTCTGGATTCTTTTTCCTATTTTCCGCCTTCTGTTTTGGTAAATGCTGTGTCAAAAACACAAAAACTGCATCGCACACACGCACGCCGAAGCAAAGAGTTCAATCCTGCGGTTTCAGTTCAGTTAAGGTTTTTTCACTATTTTTTGTTGTTCCTATTTCCGCTGTTCGAAGCCTGCGATGTTCGTATTACGGCGAGTATTAAGTGATGATCTACGCACGTCCTCACGCAAGGACAACGCAATGTAAACTGCAGCAGGAGTCGCAAGATTCGCGTCACTGCGAGTCCTGTGCACAGATTTCCCAATTGGCGAACGGGCAACGAAGTCGGTTCGGAAAATCCGAAGTCCTTCGGCGGAAAATCACGAATGGAAAAGCGAGGGGAGAGAGAGAAAAGTTAGTGGTGGGTTATCAAGGCGAGAAATGCTCAAATTTACTCCACTGCTTGTTTCCCCTTACACTGCTTATATTCCCCTTCGCACTGCTTGGCTTCTGCAGTTTTCACCTGCTTGATAACTGCTTGCCCATACTCACCACGATTCCCCTTCAGCAAAGTTAACACACAGTGGGCGAAATGGCTAGAAACCCTTAGCTACACTACTTTTCAGTTTAATTGCTGATTTTATGTGAGAGTAAAGATATAATGGGATATAAAGCCAAGGCATAGCAGAAATAAAGATGTAGTTTTCAGCTATGAAACATAGAAAATTGGATTTATTTAGTTAGAATGTTAGAATTATCTTTGTACACTTTCATTTTTGATATATTTAAAAACTTGTTTGGCAATACACGTTTTGATTAGTATTTGAGAATAGGTTTTGATTTGATTTATGATTATGGGTATTTGATAGTCAAAATGCCACGACAAATGGTAGCAACATTGACGCATGGTCAGCCACTGACCAAAATTGGCGACTCTTCGGCTGGCCAGTGACTCCAGATCCAGATTCGGATTCAGCTTAATTGTAAATCAAATCGCTTGCCAAAAAGTCCCACAAAAGCCTACTTGAGGCACTTAAGTGGAACATAGCCCATGTAAATGACCGTCAGTCTGAGTTTGAGATGGCTGCAGAAATTAGTTGCCATTGGCAGAAGCACTTTGCGCCCAAAATGTCATAATCATAAAAATTTGCAATTATGCTGATGCGTATTGCGGTATACGGTGGCAACAACCGACAAAGTGGAGCAAAACAGTTCCAGTTCATTAGCCCAGCCACGCCCCTTTTTCGCCTCACAGTTTGCTCCGTGTAAGGACACACATTCGATTTTGTTGTTGCCTTGGGAGTTTTTTCTTGGCACGACTTCGAAACTAAATATAATGCAATACAAATTATGCAGACTACTGGAGACAACAAAGTCATTAGCCTCTATTTTTAGCTGTCTGCCAACCAGGCTGGAGTACAGAAACCTAACTTGTTTGTAATAAATAAAGTAACACGGCAAAAGCTGTGGAAATGTACTCCTTAAAATGTCATAAATAATTTAATGATCATTTCATCGTTTATTCAAAAAGGACGAATGTTTAATGAAACATATCAGATTTAAACATTATAGACTTTAGCTAGTTTTTCATAGACATCAATTTATTCATATCAAATGTTTGTGACTGTTTTACTTATCACTTAATACATTGTGTGGTTTCCTTTTTAAGGTTTTTTCTTTTTCAGTTAATTTACATAAATTCATTTCTTACAATACGTGATTTCGTTTAGTTAGATTTCATAAATAATTCACAATATTTTTGTTTAAGACTGCTGCTCTGTGTTTTTCTATATAAATAATTTCGAAATAAATTAATCGCTTAAAACGAGTGCTACTACGACCTATTGGCAAACTGCTGGGCACTTTCCCGTGCGCAGCTCTGCTACTTGGAATTTGAGTACAAATGCGAGTATAAGTCAAGGTCAAGGCTGTGTTTTCGGGAAGGACATCGCCGCAGAGAGTTTGCCATTTTCTTTTCTTCCTTTTTTTTCTACATTTTTCCGTTTCGATTCTCCTGATCTTAAGACTATCAAATAGATGGGCATGCAAAAAAAAAAAAATGAAATAAACAACAGGGGCGGATCACCACTGGTTGGAGGGACGGCGCTCAGCGCCGGGGGCCGCACTGCCGGAGAACCGCGGCGAGGAGGAGTTCTGCGAGGAGCTGCTGCTGGGCATTGTGCTGCAGGCCGCCTCGTTTGCCAGCAGCGTGTGAATGGCCGTCAGCAGCTTCTTGCGAGCCCCAAATGCCGCGATACCCAGCTCCATCAGGTTGTCCTCGGTCAGCGTGGTGAACACCTCCAGGTCGATTTCGTTCAGCACAAAAATTTCTGCAAGGAGAGACACGAAATGAAGCTTCAGTCGTACACGGTTCTTCAAAATACACAGTTTTAAGTTCAAGAACTTGTACAGATGGGATCTTCTTAAAAAATTATACTTCTACTAGCATAAAATACAAATCGCAACAAAAGATTTGGAAATGATGATTGCAGTAACGAAAAACTGTGTAAAGCAATTGTCTGTAATTTTAAACTATGAGTAGATAAAAACGAAAAATAAATAATTCACCATTAAGAAACTAGAAATAACTAAAAATAACAATTTAACGCAATTTTTCACTCTAAATACAAATAAATTTTGTAAAATGCAAAATAATTAGAGTCTAAAGTATGGTCTAGGAAATAGAATGACGGAAATAAATAAATAATGGGTATTCATAAGATATATACCTAGATATATGAGAAAAGAATAATTAAAATTTATATTCATGACTCATTGGTCATTTTCGTTTACCCACAAATAGTGTGATTTATGAAGTGTTTGTGAACTGAAACCCCTCATTGATTGTGTGGAATGAAAAACTCCCTCCAGTCGAGGCCAGACACATAAGTAAGCTTTATAAAACAGATCTCGAGTACACAATTGGTAAAAACGGGCACAATCGGCGGGATCTACTCACTGATGTAGTGCTCCAGACCCAAACTGGTGAGCAGCGTCTGGATGTCCTTGTGCTGGGCGAGCTGCAGCCGTCGATTGACTGGTGTGGCATCCAGCAGACCGGTGGTGGCGCTCAGTCCGTAGGGGGATCCAAGTCCTGGTGGCAGGCGCCACCCACCGCCGGCACCGTTCTCCCCGTTCTCCAGCGGGGCGGGGGCGGGCGAGGTGCTACTCAGGCCCATGCCCATCCAGGCGGGCGTGGGTGTGCGCAACTCCCCCGCCACCGGAGAGCGCTCCATGGCCTTGTAGCCCAGGGCCCGTTTCATGTCGAAGTCCAGGGTGCGGTGGTTAGTGTGCTTGGATGCTCCGCCTCCTCCAAGGTCGTAGTGCAGACTGCGGTAGCTCTCGGCACTGCCGGGCAGGAGATGTGCCCCACCGCCCGAGGATCCTCCTCCGCCGCTGGAGTTTCCCAGTCCCAGAAGCACTCCATCGCTGAGGCGGCGACCCAGCCGCGCCCCACCGCCACCGCCTCCTCCTCCGCCGCCGCCGCCACCACCTCCCTCACTTCCATACGTGGAATCCGGTGAATAGTGCGCCCGATTTGGACCACCCGCCGTGGAGGAAGTGGAGGACACGGCACCTGGCAGCTGGGCATATGGCGGATACGACTGCTCCAGCGAGGTGGTGCTGCTGCTGAAGCTCTGGTAGCCACTGGTGTTCTGACTGCAGCTGTTCCTTGGTGAGACGGCGGGTGGTTTCAGTGGCGCCACCGCTCCAGGAACCTGCAGGTAGTTACTATTGTTGTTGTTGTTCTGGCTGCCACCCACCATCGAACGACCTTGACTCTGCTGGAAGCTATTGTGCAACTGCATATACTTCTGCGTGGGCGCACATATCCCGGTGGGCGTGGCCAGGCCATTGGCATTGAGCAGCAGATGATTGTTGTTGGCATAGGGCGTCAGTTGGCCAGTCAAGGCGGGCGGCAGCAGAGATGGAGTCTTCGGGCTGTCCACGTAGCCCGCCAGGAGAGCAGTCAACTGGGTGCGGTAGGCCAGGTTGAGCTCCTTGTCCTTGGGCATGAAGTAGAAGTCGGGGATCTCGGGCTTCACGAACGGCGTGGCCAGGCGCAGGATCTCCTGGCGAGCCTCGTAGATTTTGTCTGAGTAAAGCGAATTTAAGATTAATAAATATGTCACACGTTAAATAAGATACATTAAAAAGTATATACTTATAAAGCCTGAATTATTCGTTTTGCTTAAACGAATTAACTTTAAAACAATAACATAGCTTGAAATTTAACTTATAAATATCAGTAGTAAAATTAGAGCACCAGTTCATTTACTTACAAATCAGATAAAAAATAATAAATAATAAATTCATCTTGAAAATTGTAATAGGCATGACTATTATTATGACTATTATTAATAGTATTTTTTTTTTTATCAAAAAATGTGTATTTGTTTTATTTAACAAAAAAATAGTTCACATTTACACATATTATTTTAAAGATTATTCTGACCATAATACATTTTTAGCAATCAATTAAATGTTTTGACCTTACAAGAATGTTTAAAAACTAAAAATCTCATGTTTAACTTTTAAAGGACTACGCTGTACAAAATTACTCATGTTTTAATGATTTAATAGGGGAAAACCAAATTTTGTTGGAGTGATTGGTTGTCCAACTCACCTATAAACTTCTCCACTCCCTTGACCACAATGGCCAGTGTGCTCTGGCGCTGTTTCTGGCGCAGGGTGATGTAGACGCCGTACTTGGTGTTGAGGCTCATTATCTCGGAGGCATCGTTCTGGTTGTCCGGAAAGTCAAATATCAATGCTACGGGCAAATTGCCAAGCAATTGTTGTCGCGCCAAGTAGACGTCGTCGATGCGTCCGCTGATCGTGACCTGCGACTTCTTCAGCGGCTTCACGTTCATGTCGCTCAGATCGGGGAATATGATCTTGGTCTGAGTGCGCTCCATGATGCTGAGCAAGTTCACGTTGTTCTTGCCCTTGACAATCTCGTGGTGCTGCGGCGAGATCTCCATCTGGACGTTCACCAGGATTTGACTCTGAAACGGCGGTGGATTCGGTCAGCACATGATCAGCACATCAGTTATCTGTCTTCAACTTACCGCAATGCTCTCGCAGGCAAAGTTGATCAGCAGCTGAGTGGCATCTCGCACCTGCGCCGATTCCTTCTCGGATCCTTTCACCAGAACCAGAGAGGTGTGCAGCTTGGGACGCGTGGAGAATATGACCTGAAAGGTTGCAAAATGGAATTAGATAAGGTTTAAAACGGTGCAATAAATATAAAATAATTTAAACATTTGCGATATATCAATAATAACAATGGTTTGGAAAAGGAATTGAATTGATTTTTAATTGTAGTTTTTATTTATGCCCGTCATATTTGTAAATGATTATATTGCATTTTAGTATTATAGGTCACATGGAAATACTTCTTAGGGCTTATTGCTTATTAAAATATGTCATAATCATTTAATAATTTAAAAATAAAGCAATTTAAGTAAATGCCCGATTTTTGTAGTTTCAAATAATTTTCTTTAACTTATTTAAATACAACTATATATACCAAACTTTGTACAAAAGCAAAACGAATTCTGCAAATATGTAACATTTGGCAGTACAAAAAGTAAGTAAGGTAAAAAATTACTAAAATCGGAGCACCTAGATTTCTTATTTCATAATTAGCTTTTACAATTTGGCCGTTTTCCAGGGAATAGTTGCGCATCCTCAAATGGCATTTATTTTGGCTTATTGTGTTTCTGTCTAGAATTTTAGCTTAGTTCTCACCTGCACATTGAACTTGGTCTCGATCATCTTGATGTAGGGTGTCTCGTGGTCGGGCTGCGGCTTGGTGGGCCCCATCACGGGCATCTCGAAGGAGATGAGCAGCGGGGTGGAGAGCCGGACGAGGGCCCGGGCCCGCTCCACGCCCTCCAGACTGCCGCACAGCGACACCTGGTTGGACTTCTCCGTGGGATTGGAGCGGTTCGAGTCGGGGAAGTGGATGTGGGTGTGGGTGTCGTCCATGATGCGCTTTATGTTGTTGCCACCTCGTCCGATGATGTACGAGTGATCCGTGTAGCTGACGTCCATTTTCATGATCACACGGGTGCCCTGTTCGTAATTGGGATTATAATTAAAACAGATCAGACTTTATCAGTGGGCATAACCCACCCTCGAGTCAAGGCTGCTCAGGATGCGCTCCTTGGCCCGCTGCACTTGCTCCACCTTGCCCACAATCCTCACATGCGGATCTTCAATTGAAAAATATATTATTTACATAATGTTCCATATAATTTAGTCCAACTATAACCTCACCCTTCTTGCTCTTGGCACCAATTTTGAGTCTGCAAGGCCAGCTCACATACGTATCCGTCGTGTTCATGATCTAGTAAAAAAATATGTATTGGATATATGGCGTTTCTTTTATACCAAGTCAGCAGAGCTCTTAGCCGGTCCTAACAATTACTTAAAACTACTTGCGTTATACACTGAAATTTATGGTGGTACAGTAGGAATGCCAAACAAAGACATGGATCAATTAACTTAAAAATTTTGCTCAAAGAGTAAATAACTTAAGATACTATTGAATCGGAAACATATTATTTTATGTTTTAAAATTTATAAGGCATGGCATTCTAAGTGTTGAAAAATAATTTAAAAATTGACAGCATTTCAGATAACCATTAAATAATGATAAATTAAACAATTAGCAAATGCAATATTAAACAATTTTAAATTGTTGGCAAAATGTATACATCCAAAATTACTTTTTAATAATACTCAAATACGTTCAAGACATTTTTGAACAATACTGTTGAATGCACCCATTGTAGAATGATTTATTTATAGAATTCTAGTTTCTTTAAAGTCAAGTGAATTATAAATGCAAAACATTTGACAATACGAATATTATAGTTTTAAGTTTTGGTGGTCACTTACGTCATGGAAGAAATACTCGGCTCCATTCATTCCCTCAATGGCGCTGTCCGCTATGGGGAAAATATTAACTGTTAAATAAATCTAAAAATATATATATATTAGGCCAGCATTACCCTTTATCAACTGCTCCAGTTTCTGCCGATCAACCTTGAAACGTTCGGTGTGCAGATCGTCTGGGTTTTGAACGCCCAACTTCATGGCGATGGCGCGTATGTCACTCCAATCGCTGTCCACGGAGGAGATCTCGCTCTGGGTCTCGCTGGGGGCCCCACTGCCCGCCGAGGTGGTCGAGGGAAGGGCCTGGAGACTGGCCAGGGATCCCATGGACCCACCGTCCACCTCCAAGCCCCCCATCGGCGATTTGGCCATATCTGCGGCCGTTGGAAACATCATTTTGTTGAACGAGGCGCAGGACAGCATCGTGCGGGTTGAATGAATGGATCAGTGAGTCGGCTAGTGGATCGAAGGATATGTCAAAAGTCAGCAGGTGTAGGTGAGTGTACCGAAGAGTCGTTTAGTTTTAAAAACCAAGAAAAATGTCCGTCTAGATGTCGAGGCGTTTTTGGTCAGCGATGAGAGATGCGTGCGGATGGGTAATGCAAGTTGTGTTTTGATGAGATGAGCTGGCCATGAAAAATGAAAAGTCCGGAGTCGAAAAATAATATGGTGTTTAGATTAGGGGAATTTTGTGCTCTTTTATGGCCCTTTTATTGCATATAAAAGTATAAGATTAAGTTTAATTTAAATTTAAATTGCCATAATAACATCTTATTAATATATATAAAATATCTTTACATAACTTGAATACTTATAATCATCTATTTATTTATTTTTAAAAAAATTTAACAGAATCAAAAATACGGTGAAAATATTTTTTCGTTTTCATTGCATAATTTTTTTTATTTTCAAAAGTTGGATGTTTTTCCTGGCTTCCCTTACTAAAATATTAAAAGTTATTGAGAACTTCAAAATTATTATATCTACCTGTTATGTAACATATTTTTAAAATTTATTTTTGAAACTATTTGTATTGGTTTATATTACGAAAATCTGTAACTAAAGTGTTCGGTTTATTAACGAAATTAATTTTATTAATAATAAGTTGGTATGTATCGACTTTTCTATTATCTAAACTTATTTACCAAACATTAAAGTATAAGTGTTATGGGAAAATATAAGAGGATAAATACATTTTGCTTTATTGATACCAAATGATTTAGCTAACATCTCAAATGACTTGTTTTCTTAAAGTGACTCAAAAAGATGTTAAAACCTTTAACATTTTAGTTCTATATTTTTAATGTTGTTTAGATCGTGTACTTAAATATATAAATTTGCTTCAAAACTTACTGTCCTAAGCCGATTTCTTTAAACATTCCTATTTAAAATATATAAAACTATTACCAACGAAATGTAAGTAATAAGTATTAAGCCTTTTGGAGAACTCGAAAATTCCTTGTTTTTCCTTAGACATAACCTCTCAAAATGGAGTGCTGCTGCCATGAGGTTTGCACTTTCCCCTTTCTCTCGCCCTTAAAAACGGGGAGGAAAGAAAGAACCCGAGAACCGTATTTTCCCCCGCACTTTCACTTTCCCCAACCAAAGAGGCCAATGGCGAAACAGGACTTACCGCTGGCAGATCGCGATCGCTCGGGGATCTCTACTTGAGGTTGAACAGGCCCTGGAGGTCCAGGCAGAGGGCGTGCGTGAGGTCCTGGACGAATTGGATGGCCTCGACGAGGCAGACGTTCATAACAAAATTACGTATTTGTTGAAATCTCTCGACGAAAGGCATTTAGGGTGTGATCTGCGCAATGTAAACCTATATATCAGTATATAGCTGGGTGATTGCGACGGGTCGGGGATCGGCGACTGTGGCTGTGTCAGAATAAAAACTCGGGCAATATCTCTCGCTAATTCCTAAGGGACTACCACTTCTATGTACGGCTCGAAGGCAACTGAACGCGGCTCTCGATTCCGCCGATCCACTTGCCTTGCCTGCTGTTCGACTTGCATTATTTCTAACTGTAGAGCGGATGAATTCCGCATTCCGCTGACTGGAGAAGATCTGGCGAATATTGTTGTTGCTGGGTCAATGAACCACTCCCGGAGTAAGAGATTCGATACCAGAGAGCGCAAAACAAAACAATGTCGGAGAGGACTAACAGAACTCCAACATGTTTCCTTCCAGGCAGTTAACAGCGATTACAATGTTCCCATGTAAAATCGAAAATGTTGCCAACCGTTTTCATTCATTTTGGCGCCAGAAAAATGGGAGAGAAATACGGCACGAAAAGAAACCGACTTTGTTCGCGCCAAAAAACACGCCACTTACCGCAATATTGGAATCTCGGATCGGAGCACAAAACACATAGATATCTCAGGTTAGTTTACTTAAACACAATCAGTTGTAAAATCATTTTGACAAATAACAAGCTCGTTTCACGTAAAAAAAATTATTTATTCGCTTGCTAATTAATTTTGGGCGCAATTAATTTTCCGTCAATTGGTCAAATTAAGGTTCGAATGGGGATTCGGCTGGCAGTCGATGTATTTTTTTCAATGTAACCCAGAAAAAAAAACCACGGCCGAAATGCGAGTAACAGAAAAACACGTGTGTGGAAAACACAAAGGGAAAATGCAATGAAAAGCGAAACTAAATTGTTGTCAGGAAATCGTGCACCGCGCGTTCGTTATTATTAATATTATTTTTATTTAATTTTATTTTCAGTTATTTAGAATTAATATATCATTAATGGAGGGAGCGCGCCGTGCAGTTGTCGTCATTGAAGCGCGCTGACTATCAAACTAAGCTCCGCTTGTGGATCCATGTTCCAACTGACCTTCAGATCTGAAAGCTCTACGTTCCATGGCGACCAGCGGGAGTTACATGTATGTATGTATGTATGTTCTAAATCCATTCAATTAGCTCTGTAAATCACCCTGCTTGCTCTGCGTATATGTTATCAGTGCACGGCCGGGCTTTACAATAAGGTTTTAAAAGTGTTTATCAAAAGTATAGTTTTAGTAAGGCAGTTTAATCTGGTTATTTATCATAATTTTTTCAAATTTACCTTGAACCAATTTGTTTTAGAAACAAATTCTGTTTATCCATATAAATACAAAATAATAATCCAATTTCAAATGTTTGGCACATTGCTATTAATAAGGCTCGAAGTTCTAAATCTATCGAAAAATATTTAATTTAATATCTGCCTTAACAGCAACTCTTTCGGCATCAGAAAAGCCCAAAACAATAGCAAGTTTCCGTACAGGAGTTCCACTGACACAACGAGTTTTTCCTGAAAGGGGATATATGTTTACTATATACAGGTATATTACCACCCACTTGGAATACAAGTCATAATGAGCGATGCGGAACACTTAGAGATCATAGAGTTATATATAGATAGAGCTTTTTTATTTGAAAATATTTTTAAAAATTAATTTTGTAGCTTAGCTCGGTTTGTGGTTCCAGGTCCCAACTGACTTTCATATCAGAAATAAGGCTATTTATACATTCCATTAGCCAGTGCATAAACAACTGAAAGAGCTTTTAGTCAGCTGGTGAAAGGGAATACGGCATTAGCTTTCGACGTCAGCGCCTTTCACCAAAATTGGAGCTTCGAACACTTCTGAAACTCCCCAGAAGGCGCTTTGGTAAAATGTAGGAACAGTGAGCTTGAAAAGTATGCTTACCGAATTTTATGTTACCATATTACGGAAATCCTTTGACTACTGCGAGCTTTTTCCCCACAAAATACTCCTTTTATTTTACTTTGTAATAAAAAATAAATAAAGTCATTATATTAAATCTTTATAGAATTTCCAAAAGTTTTTTATTGTTTTAGGCTCCCTTAATAGAGATAGTGAAATAAAAACAGAAACACATTTTTAGTCTTTATTGAATAGGGGGTTACTTTATTTCCTTGCTGCGTTCTTTTTACATTACTATTTTGTTTTCTTAGAGCTTATTGTTACATTTATTCTGGCTTTACACATTTTTGGTTATTTATTGGGGATATGAATATATTTTAGTTAATGCTTAACGCATTTGCTTGCGTTTTTGATTCTCATTATAAATCTAAGACTTATCTTTGTCCCTAGCATCTAGAAACATTTACTGCTCTTTAGCCTATTTTCATATCCTTGGTTAATTGTTTTTGTCCTTTATTCTATATACATAAAAGTAAATTTTTACATTCTTAAATATTTCCTCTCTATAATTTTATAACTATAATTGAAACCATATCGAAATAAAAGGTAAAATCAAAGTCTCCTTCGAGTTGTTTAAAAATGTAATGAGCATAAATTAGGGAAGACAACTTTCACAACACGATTTGATTACAGAAATCTTGGCTCATGCATTTTAATATTATATGTTTATATATTTGCATTATTTGTTTTTAACATTTACACCAATTTATTTTATTTTGTATTTACATTTTTATTGAAACTTTTTAAATTTGAGTATTTATTTATAAATCATTCAACATTTATTATTATAATTTTTAAAACGCAATCTTGCTTAATATAATTGTTTATTTTACATTTTTGCCCTTTCTTTCTTTTAAATTTAGATTACCCATTGCATTACATTGATTTATTTTCAAGGTAAAGGAACTATTTACCGCTGGATTTTTGTTGGCCAAAAATTTTAAATAATCGTTTATTTTCTTTCAGTTTTAATATTTCCAAAATTAGAGTTAAATAAAAATGTTTCCTATTCATTTTTGTTTGATCTATGTGTTCGTGGTTTTCTACAAACAAATGATTGCTTCAATAATTAATTTTGCATTTAATTTCCACAACCGTAAAAAGTTCCTTTCTGTACAGTGGATGTTATTTCATATTAATTTATTATTATATTTACACACATTGACTTAATGCCGTAACATTTTTCCAAAGAGAGAAGACAGTTCACTATTTATTTGTATTACTTTAGCTTGTGTTGTTTACAATGCTTAAACTTTCAAAAACACACTTTAAAATGCACTACGGTACCCGAAAGCTAAGCTCAAGTGCAGTCTAAAGTTCAGCTTGCTGTTCACTGTGCACATTTTCTTATATGTATCTCTTTTCGTTTATTTTTTTGGTGAATATGTTTAATGCTTGATATACATACAACGTAAGAGCTTTTAAGTACATGACAAATACTTGACATACTTTTTGTGTTTCAGTGTCTTAAGCACATGCATTCTTCACCCTGTACGAAAATTCCCAAATTAACTGTGCATTTTCTGTGTTTTTTCAGCGATTTGGTTTTACGTCTTAGTTTTTTTTTAATCTTTTATAAATAACAGTCAGGGATATTTCGGCAATAATAAAGAATTAAATATAAAACAATTTTGCATTGAACATTAACTTAGTTAAATTGCAAAAGATGATTATGAAAATGAGGAAAACTCTTTATTGTCAGTAAATTTGTAATGCTTAGATAACTTTGGCTATCTGAGTCGCAAATTTCTAAATAAAGTAACAATCAAAAAATGATAATAAGCGTATTATTATTTAACAAAGAAAATATAACTTATAACTCAACTTATAAGACCTCATACGTTTTTCAGAATAATTGTAAGATTTATATAACAAAAATATAGTTTTGTGATTGCAACGTATAGGGTATCCGCTATTTTATTGGTTTCACCATATGTCATATTTTCCCCCGACTTAACATTAATTTATTTCCTGTTATTATTCATCGATTTCATATCTACTTGCCGGGTATACTTTCAATAATTAAATACGTCGCCTTTCTGCACTTTCCCTGACCTTATGCATTTAACACTTAAGAGCTACGGCCAAATCGATTTATGCAGCTGGCTCATGCAATCAATATGAGTACGAATGTATATTAATTATGCCCTTCAACAATTCGGAGGTGAAAAGAAGAAAAGGGCAGTTTTTCTGCACGGTGGCGAGCACCTTAAGCTACTTTCGGAAATGGATTTCATCATCAATTCGGCATCAGCACGCGCTCCAACGCGACTGCATCATCGCATCCACATCCACATTCACATCCATCGCCTGCGATTTCTTTTGCCGCTTTTGCCGCCGCCGAGTCATCAATAATCGTTGATCCGGCCAACTGGCCACGCCCCTTACACCCCTAACGCCCCCCACAAGTGTCGCTGACAGCCGCTTAATGCTGCTCGCAACTCCTTTTCCAGCGGCAGCAGCGACATCTGCAACATCAGTAGTTGCTGTTGCTGCTGCTGCTGCTGTTGCTGTTGGTGTTGGTGTTGCTGTTGCTGTTGTTATTGCTGTTATAGTTGCCGTTGCTGTTGTTCTTGCTGTTGCTGTTACAGTTGCCGTTGCTTTTGCTGTTGCTGTTGCTGTTGCACTCGTGCTGCCAATATTCGCATCACCATCATCATCATCGCGATTCTGAGCTGGCATCGCCATTGCCATTTGACAATTATAAAAGCATTTGACGCCCGATGCGGATGTTGCCGCTTTTGAAGCTGTCACATCGATGTTGCTGCTGTGATGCTGCACCTTGCCAGTCGCCGGCTTTGTGTGTTGGCAGTTGATAATTTGATGGGCCAGCGGCCCTAGCAGAAGAAGAAGAGCAGCCGCTCCACCGCCCCCACAGATCCAGTGCCACGCCCCCGCCAACTGCCTGTTGATGGGGAGCTTTGTTAGCTGCGATGGCCAGAATTGCCAGAAGATTTCGTGTGCAGCTGTCGAGGCGCCCGATGCCTTGTTATCCGCTGGAAATAGAGAGATACAGACAGGTGAGTGCTGGTGGGTAGGGTACAAAAAATACCCTTTGCCATTCAAGGGGGACCTCTGTTTTTCACCTTTGATGCCTTTGTGAAAACTAAAGATATAAGTGGAAGTTTGGCCTAAAACAGACTTTCACAGTTGTATTTGTTAAAGTTATGGACTCTGGAAGTCCAATTTTGGGTCACTTGTGAAAAAAGTCATTAAAACTTAAAAAAAACTAACATGAAAATGGGTTGAAAATTTGATCAACAGTAAAATGACTAATTTGAATGGTACTTTTTAGAGAATGAAATCACAAGTCTTTGGAGGTATGTCACTTTAAAATCTGATTAAATTTGGTAAAGTTATGGCCTCTGGAAGTCCAATTTTGGGTCAGTTTTTCTCAAGTCACCAAAAACTTACAAAAAACTAACATGAAAATGGGTTGAAAATTTGATCAACAGTAAAACGACAAATTTGAATGCAGATTTTTAGAGAATGAGATCACAAGTCTTTAGAGGTATGTCACTTTGAGATCGGATTAAATTTGGTAAAGTTATGGACTCTAGAAGTCCAATTTTGGGTCAGCTTTTCACAAGTCACCAAAAACTTACAAAAAACTAACATGAAAATGGGTTGAAAATTTGATCAACAGTAAAACGACAAATTTGAATGCAGATTTTTAGAGAATGAGATCACAAGTCTTTAGAGGTATGTCACTTTGAGATCGGACCCAATTTTGGGTCAGCTTTTCACAAGTCACCAAAAACTTACAAAAAACAAACATGAAAATGGGTTAAAAATTTGATCAACTGTAAAACGACAAATTTGAATGCAGATTTTTAGAGAATGAGATCACAAGTCTTTAGAGGTATGTCACTTCGAAATCGGATTAAATTTGGTAAAGTTATGGACTCTGGAAGTCCAATTTTGGGTCAGCTTTTTACAAGACATCAAAAACATACAAAAAACAAGAGAGAACGCTATAGTCGGGTGCCCCGACTATCAGATACCCGTTACTCAGCTAAAGGAAGTGCGAGGGAGATGGAGATAGAAACTTTGATCACGCATAACTTTTTAACGAATGGTCCGATTTGAAAAATTTCTTCTACATTTCGATAGGTATTAATAAACACAATAAAACTGCATTTTTACTTTTCCGAAATATTTAAATTTTTAAAATCGTATATAAGCGATTGTGGGCGTTAAAGGGGGCGTGGCACCATTTTGAAACAAACTTGCGCTGCGTAGGAACTTCTAAAATCTACATGCAAAATGCCAATCTTCTAGCTTTTATAGTTTCCGAGATCTCAGCGTTCATACGGACAGACAGACAGACAGACAGACGGACAGACAGACGGACAGACGGACAGACGGACAGACGGACATGGCTAAATCGACTCGGCTAGTGATCCTGATCAAGAATATATATACTTTATAGGGTCGGAAACGCTTCCTTCTAGCTGTTACATACTTTTGCACGAATACAATATACCCTTTTACTCTACGAGTAACGGGTATAACTAACATGAAAATGGGTTGAAAATTTGATCAACAGTAAAACGACAAATTTGAATGCAAATTTTTATATGACGTCAAAAACTTAGTACGTTTTCAACTTGAAAATGGGTCAGAAAATTGATCGACGTTAAAATGACAAATTTGATTACAGATTTTTAGAGAATCCTTTTTTTTTTATTATAAACTTATTTTTTTCTTGAAAGTATTTATAAAGGGGCAATATAAAAGTGACCCATTTACAAAATCGTATTCTTTATGCTAACAAAAAATAAATGCAAATCAAAAATTATAGATTATACCTTCGAGAAATGTTTGTACCTCTAATAAAACCTTTTAATTTGGTGATCAAATATGTGTTTAAATATAATTAAGTTTTCATCCAAAGCCTCTATTCCATTATACAAATTTTTGGAAAGCTATGCGCAGCATTGTAACAAACTTGCGTAAGATGCAGAGGGCAATACCAAAAAAATTCCATTTTCCTACAAAAAAAAACAAGATATTCAACCAGACTGGTTCCCTTGTGTGAGTGGGTGTGTCAACATTGCATTTGCATAAAGTTCAGAGCGGAATGCAGGCAAGGAATCGGAACATGCAATCTCCCCATTTCTCCTACTTAATATCGAGGGTGGGTTGCAAACTTCCGTTTTAAGCTATGCTTTGGGCGCTGTGGCCAAAATATTGTTGCATACGTTGATATTCCGCTGGGTTCCGTTTGCATTCCCCATCGCGTTCCATCGGTAAGCCAGTGAACTCAATTTTAAATACAATTTTCAGCTCAATGCGTTTACACACTTGTTATTCCTGGTGTTGTCGTTACTTGGTGTTAAGTAAATGTTGCCGCTAGTAAGTGGCAAGGAGGGAACCGCAAAAGGAAGTGAATGAAAAAAGAATATACATAAAGGTCACCCCCATCATTTTTGCCAGAGGCTTCCAATCACGATTCCGTCCTGCACAGTCTGCCGCAATTCCGCGACAATCTTTCATGTCTAAACTTAGTTTATAGCAATTTGATTTGCCCGCCATCTGATTCGATAAGCCTGCTTCTTGCTCCTGGTTGTTAGCAGTCTGGAGGAATGTTTATGCAGCACAATTTTATTTACATAATTTACATTGTGTGCCCGACATCGACAGGATGCAGTGGGCCGAACTAAGTGGGATTCAGTCCATCTCTGCTGTTTGCCGAAGGCTTTGCCTTCCATCAATGTGAGATAGGATCACTTAAACATATCGTAAGTGCAGGCAGATCTTTTTTATTTGGTAAGCTATTGAATTGGATATTTATTTATATCGAGACTTAAAATCTAAGAAAACTAAACAAATAATTGGATTGGCTCTCGGCTAACGATAAGTAACTGCATTTGTGTATATGCAGTACAATAAGAAAAATATTTGTTTTGTTAAATCTTCAAAAATAGGTATAAATACTCAATAAATGTAAGTGAAACTTTCTTTTACTTTTGTGAACAAATTTCTAACGAGTAAAAGGTCACTTGTCGGGGCTAAAGAGTTTTTAGGGTTTTTATTTTGTTAAAATAGTAATTCTTTAAATGATTTTCATAGTATCAATACCTATGGAAAACTAAACTTCTAATTAAGGACTTTTTACACATCGTGGTCTGGTTTGATGGCAAGATTTTATTCAGATGTCCTCCTTTTCTAACACAAAGTACTTACCCGAGTAGTAAGTCAAATAGGACTCGTTGTGATCCTCATAGCCGCCCCGTTCGCCATTGGTGTGGTCCTCGAGGGGATAATTGTTGATGTCATACGATCTGCCCGAGGCCATTATCCTGGGACGGTCCTCCTCGATGACACTCTCCATTTCCTCCTTGAAGATGTCAAAGATATTGGCCGTGCACTTGAGCTGACAACGGGAAATGGAGAACAGAAGCGGTCTTTATTAGAATCTCAACTGGTGCGGATTGTATTTGTATCCTTACCCTCATCTGGCTCTTGAGGAAATGTTGATTGGTGACCATGAAATTTATGGCACTCGTCACCGATTCCAGGGTGCTGTTCTCCCGCCTCTCCGTCTGATAGGTCTTTATGTGGTGCGGTGGCACCTGCAACAAAGGGATCGAATAATGTCAAGTGGCATCTCGAATTTGCAGCGAAATCAATTTGTATATATTCAGCAATCCTTTTGCGATGAAGTGGCCCTGGTCCGCAATATGAAAGCGAAAACTATTCCCCGAAAGCTGACACTTTGGCCCGAAAAATAAAGGCGACCACGCCAGAGCGGCTCAGGCAAATTTATAACTTATGAATGATGAATAGATTTACGCTTGAGTGATTAACTAGAGCAGATGATGGTGATGCTGATGCTGATGCTGATGACGACGATGATGGGAAGGATGGCGAGGATGGCAGGAGCCAAAGGACATGGGTGAGCTGTGTCGAGAAGACGAGGCCACTTTGTTTGCGGTGAGTTTAGTTTGAAGTGCCTGGCAGATACGATGCCCAGGCCCCAAGCCACCCCACAACCACCCATAAACCACCCACGCCACCCCATCACCCACAGCTGACAGCACACATGATGATGGGTGGTGGGTGAGTGGTGCTCCTGTTGAAATGCGCTCGTTAGCTAAAAGATCAAGTGGCCGCACCCACTGCATGGCCACCCACAGTAGGCAACACTCAAGTGCTGTTTGTGTTAGTTTTCCCTGCTTTATTTTCGCATATTTATAAATATGTTTTTTTTTTTTTGTGCTGAGTTGCTTGTTTCGATGACGATTAAATCCGAAACTTTTGCATTTTCAAATTGCAATTTATTTATTCTTAGTTCGGATTAAAACAAAATATTTGTTTTTTGTTTAGTGATTTTACTTCGTCGCTTTGTATTTTTTATGAAAATAGTGTTGATACTCGTTAAACATGAATATGATTTAAACAGACAAGTATTGAGAATCCTTAAAACGTTTTTATGAATATACTTTTAGGTGCCAACCTCTTATGTATATCCAAAATAAATACATGTAATTAAATAAAACTGCTTTCCATATACTTAATTTAGTATTACTGAGCAGTTTTTCTCTTTAAATTAATGTTTTGCAGACAGATTAGAATCATGAATCTTTAAGGCCGTGAAACCCACTTCATTTACTTTGGAGTTAAACACTGACTAAATCCAGCCAACTTACAACTTGATCTCTCACCTACAAAAGCACACACAAAGGCCGCAAATTTGAAATATGACTTGGAGGGCCTTCGTGACATTGACAACGCATTTACTATACTCCAGCCGCTGCCAGCAGGTAAATGTAACCCTCTGTCTGGCCTGGTCTGGTCTGGTATGGGGGGCAAACAATAACAATAACACCAGCCAAAAGTCTGGGAGAAAGGCCGTAATGTTCTCTGGGCCGCCATAAAAAGCGGCAGAGAAAAACTAGCTGACAACCTAAACGTTTCTTGAAAAACCGAACGCAAAATGCCAGGACATGTCAGGCATCCTTGCAGCCCAGCCCCGCATCACACCTGTGCAATCATGCGGAGAGGTATGACAGCAGCTGGGCGCAAACTGGCAGGAGGCAGTGTGACCTCCGGTTTGGAGTCGACAGTCGACAGTCGACTGCTGTGGTTGCGGCCATAAAACATCCAGACAAGCCCAGCCCAGTACAACCCATCCGGGCGAAAGCGAATGGCATAAAAACTGACGGCATATCAAAAAATGTATATAGCCGAAGAAGAAAAAGCGGGCAAGAGAGTGTGGTTCTAGGCAAATATAAATGCCAAAGATGGGCCTGCAAAATGGAAACGCCGCACTCACAGGTGCCAAAAAGTATGCAACAGACGAGAAATGAAAAATCGCACACTAAACGCAAAAAATTGCAAAACCAATGGCCACGTTTCACCTGCATTTTCGTTTTTTTAAACAAGTTGATTGATCAAATGCGAGGAGGCAATTAAAGAGTTTACTATTTAATGTACTTCGATTTGAAAATGTTCAAATAAAAGCAAATGTTTTGATAGCTTAACCCGAGTGTTTTTAAATCGTGCTCGCCCAAATTTTAAAAAGCCTTTTAAATTATAAACGATATTGAAGTCCGGATAAGCCATAGACTTTTGCCAATGCAATTAAAATCTGTATTAAAAACTACCAAGGTAAAAAGATATTATTTTAAATTTCAGCACTTTTTCATACATCTGCAGAAAATTAGTGCACAAATTGCGAATGTCTTTTAAATTGGGAGTGCACGTATTTTTGGGTTTTTGTATCTATATTATGTTAACTTGTATATTTAGAACTCAGTTAATTAGTGAAATTATAAAATTAAGATCCAATAGTCTACATATTATTTAAAAAAGGCTGTGCATCGATTTGTTTTTTACTGTACATTTAAAATATTTGTTGAATATCATAATTCTTTTTATTTTTAATTTATAAGTATTTATTTATTTAAATGACAAATTTATTTAGATATTATTGGTATTTACAATAAGTATTTACCATAATGCCTAAGCACATTTTTAATTTTAATCAATTTAAATCAAATTGTAATGGTAATCCCAGCTTTTTAATTTGGGAGAGCACCTAGGCTCCAATAAACTTGCATTAGCAAACCGATTTCGCCACTCAAAGTGCATTCGAACACACAACCAAGTTTCAGCCCCTCTCTTAACCAACGACTAATTGAAAAACTGGCGGCCCATCAATTGAAGGCGATCAAAGACCTAGGTTCACCGTTTTTCGATTGCCTGCTAATTGAAGGGCGGATGGGGGCGGAATGGGCGTGTCCGGCTGTGGATAACAGTGGTAAACGAAACCAAAACTTACCACAATACCATTAATAGTCCATGTCAAATTAGCAGCCGGTTTCGAGTATTTAATTGAGCAATTGCCGTCGACCAAATCGCCGATGCGATAACGTGCCTGTATCCCGGTAACCACAGTGTGCTCTTCCGGCAGCTCTGCAAAAAGTGGGCCAAAAGAGAGGGCCAGTCGTTAGCCAAGGAATGGAAATGTAAAATTAGCCGAAAAGGACGAAGCCGGTGGCAGGCTCAAATAGATTTGTTCTAATTAATTTGCTTGCCTCGACCGCCGGTTCCTTCCCTTCCCATTAGCCCATTGCAATTCTTAACGCTATATCTTTTTTTGATTTCTACGTTAAGGTTTTTTTCTTTTGTTTTTTTGGTTTTTCACTTACCAACCACCTCCATTTCGCCGGACACCATGGCCGTTTGGAAAGTGGGCGCCTCCACGGATATTTCGCATGTAAATTTTCCCGAAATATTCAGCGGCACCGACTGCAGAACGACGTGGCTCTGATTCGAAAGGTTGCGCTGCAAAGGAGAAAGCGAAGGGAGAAAGTCAGCGGCGGGGAAATGAAGAACGTAATAAAAATTAGTTGGTTCAAAATTGGCTGGACGCGGTGCATAGAAATTGAATATAACCAGCGGCGGCGAGTGAAAAGTGAAAAAGAAAAAAGAAAAGGGATAGGAAAAATATGAAAATGTTGTCTTGGCTGTGAATGACGAAAAGCACAGCTGCTGCTGCTGGTGAAAGATTGCCTGATGGAAAGTGAGTGCAAATTGAGGGCATAAAGGTGAAGGGTTGATTTTAAAGCTGAAGTGCTCATCTCCATTTGATTAAGATTTTCTTTGACTCAAAGCTACTTGACACAGTGTTAAGAGTAGCAGCTGTCTTTTGAATCCGAAAAGTAATCCTTATTCCTTTCTCTTAAGCTTCTAATAAGATGAAAGTAAGAAGCATAACTTGACCCATCTGAAGAGCTCATTCAGCGCCCATTTTACGCCGATTTTCAAATGGACAAAAATAAAGTATTCCATACGCTTATATCTTGTATTTTACAAGGAACTATAATAATTTTTTCGACCGTGGGAAATTAAGAATTCTTAAAATTAAAGAAAGAACCGTAAGAATTTGGGTAATTTATTTTATTTACAATTAAAATTATACATTTGTAGTTTTTATTTAGCCGAATATTTTCCATAAATTTTCCACATTTAAGCTCTTCAAAACGTAACTGGGTATTTTTCAATTTTATAACGCTTGTGAAATTTAATATTTCGAAGAGAAAATGAGGAAACCTCATATAACAATTCACTTAATAAAAATCAAATTTAATAAATTGCATTTAATAGTGTGCGTCATTTTCAGGATAAATAACACATAAAGGCAGTGGAGGGAATAAAATTATGTTGAGGAAGTGGTGGGTGGCGCAAAAGGTCATTGGTAGTTCCACAGGATCAATGGCTGAATGTTTAACCCAATTTGTTGCCGCTGATACCTAATTGGCCCTTGTGTATTTCACCGTTATAATTAAAGGTGGCTATTATACCCTTTCTACAGGTCCTTTAGGGTTCAATATAAAATATGTTTTAATATTTTAAAAGTTGCAGAAAAACTTTACAAATCAAGTGAATCAGACAATTATTTAAGCGTCAATCACTTTTTTATATCCCATCAAATAAAGATTATTTTAATCCTTTGCGTATATTATTATTATTCTATTTTTTGGCTACTCAAATGGAAATAATGTTCGAGATTAATTAATTTTTTTAGACTTGATTACACAAAATATTACTAAATGAAAAATTAAATATTTATAAAGTGTATTTAGAGAGTGGTTTCATGTTTGATGTTGTCAATTTTCCCCGAGGCCTTATGTAATCTGTATATATTGTTTTTTAATGAGCCGCAAGTCAATTGCCAGCGCGACTAATTGGCCACGCCCAACAACTCTTAACGGATCCGTCTCCGGATGGACTGGCATAATTACAACGGGCAGTGGGGCAAATAAGCCGGCAAGCGTCGTTATGAAAACGAATACAGCCGGGGTCCTGGCAATCAGCCATTATGGATATAATTTACACGCAACTGCAGTAACATGTGCGCGTTATGGGGACACTGTGTTATGGAGAATTATCCATATTCACAGCAGCGTCTGGGTGCTGTACTTACCTCGACATTGAGGCCACTTGTCATGGCGAAGACCTTCATCGCCGGATTCTCCTTGGGCGTGTAGCGATAAAACTCACGCTTGCCCTTGTACCATTTCACCGAATATAGAGTATCGTTTTCCATATCGTAATTACACGTGAACAGCGCATTGCTGCCACGTTTCACCGCCTGTGGTATCATTACCGACACATCCTTGAGTGCCACAATAAAATCTGCAAATAAAATGAGTTTGGTTTTAAGTGAAATAAGCCTGAAACTGCACGGTTCGTAAATATAAAGTGTATTTAAAAGTTATACGATTAAATGTACAATTTATTTTATATCTCTTTTGTAATCAATCGTTAAAAAGTTCACACTTTTAAATGCTTTTTTGAGAGCTTCTTAGAATTTTGTTTAAGGTTGTATTGTTCAAATTTTACTCAATAACAGCAATCATCAATATTGAATTAAGCTTTATTTACATATAATTAAATTCATATATTTCATTTTAAAACGCACTTGACTTTATTGAAATTTATTTATTTTATATATTGTAAATATTAAACATACAATATTTTTTTCTTTCCTGTACCAATTTGCACACACCATGTTTTTCGTATTCAATTTTTTGTACCTTGCCCAACAATAACCACTTGAACCCCATCAAAAAAAGGGCGGCAAGCCAGAAAGGTGAGTGGAAAACTGACCTTTTCCCCGCACCTTAGAATTTCGATTCGATGCTAACTACTATGCGAAACCTTCCTTTGAAAAGCGAGTGACCAGCTGACCCGACCGCTGCCTTCCATTCGATGTTTCAAATGACAACACAAAATGTTGCAAGCAAAGTAAAACCCCATCCAACCACCGATTTCTCGATTTGCTTTCTTTTCCCTCAACCCTATCATTTGACTACTGCACTTTGGGAGTGAGTGAGGGATTCAAAAACTGAAAAGAATTGAATGAAAGACTAAAATAAATAAAGTTTTAATTAAAAATTATTTAAAATACAATATATAATCAAATTATACAAGGAAATGTTTAACTTTAGCACAATAAAAATTGAATTATAAGAACCAAACTCATATAGGAAGAAAACAGAGTTACTTTCAGCAGTGAAAGTATCTAGCTAATATCAAATTTAAAAAACACATTTATGTATAAATTAGAATAAATTTTTAGTAAATAATAAATGATTTAAAAACTTGCAACTTAAATATTCCAATCTAAAAATAGGTCTAAAGTACATCCTGATTTATGTATTTACAAAATGTATCGCTCAATTTCATAAAACATATTTAATTAAAAACAATTTAAATTGTGGTCTTTCCACGATTAATTACGAACTGTTTCCAGTGCATGTTGTTTTTTGTTTCGTTGCCTCCGGTTTGTTTTTCTGTTTCTACCGGCACACAATGCTTTTGTTTCCCATATTGACCCATATAACGAGCGAGCATTTTGCCGTGCCCTGCGACCCGCACTTGATGTGGCTGCATTTATCGCAGGGCGAACTGAAATGTCCCCTGCACATTGTTGTTTAGCACTGACCACCGTCCGATTGCCAGATACCCAACTATCCAACTATCCGGCTGCTCAGATACCCGATCCCCGATCCCCGCCCCAAAAGAACCACAGCAAGAACAACAACTTTCCCTGCCATTTTATTTTGTTATAAAAAACTTTTACAATCTACGTTTGTTAAGTATTTTAACTGCTTTCCCTGGTCAGATGTGTGGGTCGCTACCTTTCCCTTGATATATGTGTGTGGCAATGCAATATAAACCAATGAAAATTGCAGGGGCAACTCTTCGTATCGTACACTTTCCTACCCTTCTATCCCCGGTGGGAGGAAGTTTTGTGTCTGCTTTGGGTGTTTATCTGTCAGTTTATGTTTACAAATGTCCACTTTTAATGGTTCACCATTTAACTGGAGGGAAGCCAACCTGCACAGAACTCAGCAAAAGTTGAGTTTGGAGTCTGGAGGGAAGCTACTCCACGACATGCTTTATCATACATATTGCTATGTTTTGTTGTGTGACTTTTTATACTTCTACGTCAGCTTCGTCTTCTCTTGATTTCTTTTATTGTTGCTATGGCTTCTATAAGCCATTTGAAATGACTATTTTTCTGCTACCGTAATTACTAACGAGTGGTATTAACTTTCAGTTGAATTAATTACCAAAGAATTTTTATTTCATTAAGCTGAATCATGAAAAATGTTTCGTTATATCTGATTTGAAATTTATCTTTTAATGAACTGTTATTTTATTTGGTTTATTAAACGCTGTTCATTATTTGCTGCTAATTATTTAGTTTATTATATCCACCTGATTTTTTCAGCACCTAAAAACACAAAAATAATTCCCCAAAATAAATTGCTAAGCCCTGGTGGATCACACAATAAGTAGCTTTAGTTTAGGTGGCTTACTACAGCTTATTGCAAACATGTTTATAAATTTATGTTCTGGCTTACACTGGCGTTTTTATTGATTTTGCACACTGTTGAGCCATTGACCGCAACTTCAACGAATTTTGTAATTTGTAATAAAACTTTACAGACAAAATGCATTTAATTTGGGCACATTAAGTTATATTAAAAGCTGATCAAAAGTTAAGCAGCAAAACAAAGTGCCAGACAACACAGACAAACCAAACAAAAATAAGGTCTCCTCTAAGTTGGCTTGTAAGTGCTTCTCACACTTAAGAGAAGCCCCCGAAAATGTATTATTCTCCATATATATATGTATAAATAGCAGACTCAAAGCAGACTCCAGACCGAGACGCGACCACAGAACTCGACCAGAAAAAAGAAAGGCACAACGGGAGGAACGACAGCCAACCGATGACGACGACGGGTATTGTAACTGACATGCCTGTCAACACTGTAGCCATTGCCAGGACCTCGACCATCACCCGAAACCCACGTCCTGCCCCATCCGTCTACCCACTTTGCAGTCATTTCAACTTTGGAATTTCAATAAGAGCCTCGGCGAGTGAAAATGCCGCAGGTGGTAGGCACACAGAGTGTCGGGACGATGGGAAAACCAAGTTGCCGGCTGGCATAAAGAAAGGCAAATAAACCAGAAAAGTAAATACATAAATTAAAAGTGTAAAGGCGAAAAATGTTTAATTCGCGAATGGATGCGTTGGGATGTACTCAAATGGAATGGATTGGCTGAAGGACTGAAGCGTAAATATATAGGACTCATTATAATAAACCCATTCCAAATAAATATAAGGTGTGGACTAATGGAGAATGTTATAGAAATTAAAATGATTTCATATTATTTTGGAGTTGTTGTACTACATTTTGAATCACTATTTAACCTTTTTAGAAGACTTAAGTATCAACTAACAAACCACTCTCACATTTTAGTTGTAATAAGAAAACATCTAGCACGTAATAAAGCTTTGCTAATCATTTAATTTATTTATTATTCGATTTAATTTGGAACTTCTAGTTTTAATAGTCATTTTTTAAAAGTTTTTAAACCTTCGAACTTCAGCCTCTACATCATTTTGCCAAAGTCAAGTTCCAAAAGTAATGCGTTTCAGTTCTTTTTTAAGCCAAATCTAACTGGCCATTTTTCGCCCAGCTCGAAAACCCATTACTAGATCCCAGTTTTTCCTACACTTTTCGCCTTCACTCTGTTAGTCCAGGCTTTTGGTTTATTTTTCAAACAATTTTTTATCATCAGCTGTCAATAGTTCAGCCAGCTGACCCATCGAAAGGAGCAACCCAAACGAAAAATAAGCCAGAAGGAGATGGGTGCGGGACGGGAGGGGAGTGAAGGGAAAGAAATCATTACATAAAAAATGTTTTATGTTTTGCTATTGCAACTTTGACCAGGCGGTGTATGAGCGTTGCAACTACAACAGCTACTACGAAAAGGGGTAAAATTATTTGTTTTTGTTGTGTTACATGCTCCGTGGCTTTGGAAGTAGTCCAAACTTGCACGTATAAATACATTTTTGATGCCGACTTTGTTGCTCTTGTTGTTTTGCAGTTTCATTGCTTGCCATAAAAACTAAAAAATCGACAAATAGAAATAAACGCATTTTTATATGTATCTGTATTTATGAACCCCATAAATATGTCAAATAAATTACGAAACAGTCAAAATATTGTGCCATGTTTGTGTTGCCAAAAGTGTGTTTGTGTTTATGTGTGAAGTCATATATGACTATTGGGCCACATTTATAAAATCTATTTTTAGGTATAAATTTTGTACTGAACTAAGCTTTACTTTTGGCTTTAATAGATATGTATTGTTCTAAAAGACGGAGAACTAAGATTTAAAGAAAACATTTTTAGAAGACATGGATGCATTAAATATATACAAAATATTCAGATAGTCATATTAATTATTAGTTAAAATAGACTGGAGTTGTTACTATATGAATATCTTTTATATTTCTTTCATATTAAATGATTTTAAATTCATAAATATGTTACTTATCAGTTTTAGTAACACCAATAAGCTTATTTTATTGATTCCATTTTATTTATTTTATATTACTTTCCGTTTATTTGAACAAACACAAATGGAGCATTGCTTATTCAGCATTTGATACTCAAATTTGAAAAGCCCAAAACAAAAACCTCTATCTCTAAAATTGTCCGCTAATTTGGGTTTTCTCTTTTGTTTGTTTTCTGTTTTGGTTTTGGGTTGTGTTTTGTTTTCAGAGTGTCATAAAATTTTGTGGCCAACGTTTTGGACCCCAATGACAAAAAAAAAAAGCAAACGAACAAAGCTCAGCCCGCAGACAATTTCATTAGGAGGGAAGTTAAAAAAAATTACTCACATTATGAGATACTCAATGGCAGCAAAAAGGGGGGCCAAAGCCTAGAAATGAGGGTGACCAAAAGCAGTAAAAAGCGAAAACCAAATGCAGAGTTTCGCAGTTTTCGGCTTTTACCAAAATGTTTGTCACTGCAATGCACAGCATTCACATATATGTGTGTGTGTGTATAAGCAAAGGACACTTTGTCCTGTTTTCACAGGGGGAAGGGGGAGGGGCCGGGCCGGGGGTCATTTGGGCGCTCTATGCGCTGGGGCTATTAAATAAACATGCAAATTATTGCGCAATTTTTGATTACGATTTTTCAACACGAGCCAACCACCGCCAACGACAACAACAACAACAGCGCGTCTCTTCTGCATATTTGTATATGTAAATCGAGCCACTGCCCGATACACCACCCTTCACCCCCCTGCACCACCCTGCACCCCCC